TTGATTTAGAAACTTTTATGTATTTTTAAAAAATAATCATGTTTACATTTGTACAATAGTCATGTTTTGTAAATACTATAATCTTCTTAGGTGTCTCTTATGATTAGCCATATTGGGAAATTCCTGAATTGGTACACATTCTTTGTGTTCAAATGTGTTGTATATCACACAGAAAGGAACAAGCCTACATAAAGTATCTTACCCACAGCATATTACAGAGTCTGTGCCACCTGCCTGTGTGAAATGAAGAGGAACTGTGTCTATTCTATAACCATGTTGGACAATTGGAATATTGACTTTGACACAAAATTATCTGATTTGAGACAAACTAGATTCTAGAAAGGAAAGTATTTACTAATCTCATATGTGGATGTTAAGTGGAGACAGATTCAAGGAAAAGGGGGTTCAGTGACTAAAGACTAGCACATTATAATAACCATCTTGAGTGTCTAGAATACAATAATTGTTACCTTTTGAGAATCTTGATTCTCCTCTAATATTAGGCTAAGCTGGTGTATTTCACAAATCCTAATAAATAGAAAGAAGTATGTCAATGACCTCTTCAGAAATTTCATTATTAAAGGTATTGATTATCTATTTAGAAGTTATATTCAGGAATTAGATTACATAAATTCTATACATAAGTTTGAAAGACTTAATATCTTTACAATAATGATTATTCTAATCCTTAAATAGGGTAAACATTCTTTCTAGTTAGGGGTTTTAAATTTTTTTATTGATACATAATTGTACATAATCATGAGCTATATGTGGCATTTTGACACATGCATACAATGTATGATAATTAAATTAAAGTATCCATCACCTCAAACATTTAACATTTAATTGTGTTGGAAACATTTCAAATCTTCTAGCTAAAATATACAGTATGTTGCTCTCAACCATAGTTGCCCTACTTTGCTACTGAACACTAGGAACTAGTCTTTCTAACTGTATGTTTATACCCATTAATCAACCTTTCTTTACCTCCTAAGCCCCCCTAAATCCTTTTCAGCCTTTTGTATCTATCACTCAACACCATACCTCCATGAGATTAAATATTTTTTCCTCCACATATGAAAGAGAACATGCAATATTTGTCTTCTGTGCCTGGCTTATTTCACTTAACATAATGACCTCCAGTTCTATTCATGTTGCTGAAAATGGCAGTATTTCATTCTTTTTTATGACTGAATAATATTCCATTGTGTGTCTATGCCACATTTTTCTGAACTATTTATCCATTGACGGTTGTCTAATTTCTCTTAAAATCATTAAAAGTTTCAATCTATAATCATTGTATATGTTTTTTAGTTATTTTTAGGTATTTGGTGCTGATTTTCTCTTTTATATATTTTTTGCTTCTTTCAAAAATACATTTTACTATAAAGATACAGAAGATCTAATGAAAGAAGATAATAAATAATGTGCTGTGCAAATACTAGCAAAAAATATTACTATGATATAATAACTAATATGAAACCTAGAAGAATTTAAACAAGAAGTGTTACTAAATATAAAGTGGGCTATTCCACAACAATAAAAGTTTTGATCCAAGATTTGAAATAAAGGGAGAATTTTAAAAATCAGAAATTTTATTGTGAGACACTGACATATCTAGCTCAATAACTATTAGACCATCAGACAAATATATTGCTATGCATATGAAATATCTCATTGACATAATTAGTGAATTGGACATAATTGAAATATATGTATTATGTGACCTCAAAACCAGTCAGCATATATTTTAAGAAATATTTAGAAAATGGACTACATGTTGTATTATAAAGAGAACCTCAGCAATTTGCAATAGCTTAGATTATTCAGGATATGTTTATTGACTATAGTGGAATTAAGACAGACTTTTTAAAAATTTTTTTTAAAGTTCAACTTTAGTAAAGATAACAATTTACTTCCAATTGAAATTATTTTTAAAACTATAAAATATCTCTTTATTTTTGTTTTGAGTTGGAGTTTCAAACTCTGTTGCCAAGGCTAGAGTGCAATGGCACACTCACAGCCACCGCAACCTCAACCTGCTGGGCCCTCCGGTAGCTGAAACTACAGGCATGAGCCACCACACCCAGCTAATATTTTTGATTTATTGTAGAGACGAGATCTCGCCATGTTGCCCAGGCTGGTCTCGAACCCATGTACTCAAGCAATCCTCTAACTTCAGCCTCCCAGTGCTGGGATTACAGACGTGAGCCACTGCACCCTGCTTAAAAAATTATAAATATCTTAAAATGCACGATAATGTAAGTTAGATACAAAGGGTGCCCAAAAAATGTATACATATTTTTAAGAAAGGAAAAAACTGTATTAAAATTTTAATACTCATATATACCAATAACAGAAGATGAATACAAGTCATGTTTGACTTCTGCAATTACAAGAGATGCTCAAAGTGGTTATCATCAGTGTCCAGACACTTCTGATTATGGTGAACTAAAAGTAATACATAGATTACATATGTTAAAATGTGTATACATTTTTTTTTGGCACTCCCAGTATATAAAACTTGTGATATGCAGCTGAAGAAGAACTTAAAGGAAAATTTATACCTTATATGTACATAATAAAAATGAATATAAGTTGAAACTGTTTAATTAAGACTCCAGTTCAAACATTTAGGAAAAGAAGTCATACCAAAGAAATGTATAGAGAATAAAATAACTAAGTTATTAGAAATAATTTAAATAAAAAATAAATATTGAACATAAAATCAACATAATCAAAAGTTAGATTATTTGCATTAATTACTAAAATTGACAAACTTTTAGCATGAGTGATTAATACAAAAGGAGAAACTTAATTTATTGATTTCAAGATTGAAAAGTCAGAAATCATTGCATAGCCTACAACTTTTTAATGTGAAAGAAATCATTATTAAAAACATAATGCAATATGTCTGATAATTTGTAAAGTGGGCAAATGTATTAAAATTTCAACTTATGAAAAATGAATAAAAGATAAAATCTGAATAATCATATCTATTAAATATATTCAATCCATTATTAAAATTTCTTACACAAAAAAAAAAACCACAGGCCTAGATGGTTACACTGGTGAATACTTCCATACATTTGGGGTCTATTTTGTGAAATCTATTCCAGAGACATAATATTTCTGTGATTTGTGTCATTGCATGCATGTGAAATTTATATTTTTTATATTTTTTCCTTTTGTAATGTTCAGTAGTGTTCTATGTACACTACATATGATCATATATATTTATGTATATATATATTATACACACACACACATTATATATATAATCTCCACAGCTCATGCATCTATTTGTCTGCCGATGATCATTTGGATTGTTTCTAATTTTTGGTTGTTATAAACAATGCTGCCATGCATGTTTTTGCACATGTATTTTTGCAGACACATATTTACATTTTTCTTGAGTAAATACTAAGGAGCAGAACTGTTGGATTTTATAGTTACTGTCTGTTTAAAATTATAATAAATTGCAAAGCTGTTTTTCAGACAAGATCGAGTGGTACATTCAGGGTGGTATGGTCATGTACCCAAGCTATTTTTCAAAGCGGTTAAACAGTTTTACACTCCCTACTTTGTGTGACAGGTATAGTTGCTCCTCTTCAACACTTGGTCTTTCCAGGTGTTTTATGCTCTTGTTTTTGTTTTTTCCACTCTAACATAAGTTTATAGTGGTGTCTCATTATGGCATTAATTTGCAAGTTTTTGGTTACTAAGAACATTGGGTATATTTTCAAATGCTTATATTTTCAAATACCAGTCATATATTTTTATCTGTGGGGTGTCTGTTGAGATATTTCATGTATTTTTAAAATTTGATTGTCTTAATAGTATCATTTATATATTATCTACTGTTTGTTTTGTGTGCATGTGTGTCCTTTCAAGGAAATCATAAACTACTCTAAGATGTCAGATTTTTTTTTAGTATATTTTTTGCAGATGTTTTATAGTTTAGTGTCTATACTCAGATTTGATTTATTTCAGATTTGTTTTACTAAAGAAATGTATTCAAAATGTATAGGTTTTCTAAATTTTATATTTTTATAATCAACTCTAATCCATTTGCAGTTTTACTCTGGTATTTTCAATAGTTAAACCACGTATTCACTGTTTAACAGAATAGGGGGCCACATTAGTAATTCTTGTTTTCTGATTGTATGCCTCTGCTTTTCACTTCCAAAAGAAAGATTAAATTTAAAAATTTTAAAATTTATCATTTTTAATAGTGTTAATAGGCATTAACAAAATAATGGCCTTGCTCACTTTCTGATTGATGAGTCTGCCAATTTTATTACTTAGATAGGTAATATTGTTCTCTTTTACAGATTTGAAAGTTATAACACAAAGAACTTATCTTACTTGCCCAAATGTATTGGCTAGTAAATGATGGGGTCAGAATATGAACACAGACACTTTGACTTTAAGCCTTGTCTTTTTAACAGCAATGTATTCTGCTTTCCTCAGAGAAAGGTAATGGTACGATCCTGTGGCCCAGAAATCATAAACCACCTAACTGGGGCCACTCTAGCTGATGGATAGTCACAATGATTTTTGTAAGTGTTGTTGCATTTTATTAACAATATTTGAAAACCTGAAGATTTTAGTCTACAAATCTAGATTTCCTCATAATTACATGACATTGAAAAGTCTGACAGTAAGATCTTTGCTCTCCCCTGCTAGAAATTAAAATCAGGTAATTAAAGTCTAATGTCTTTAGACAGGGCTTACTCTCTCCAAGCTATCCCTCTGACAGTTTCACTCATTTTCATTGACTTCTCTAAGAATTTAAATTTGTAACTCTCAGCTTAGAAATTATGACTTGAAAATCATTAAAATGTTTGAAACAGAAAATAGATAATTTGGAGGTTTCCAATTAGTGCAAACATGGGTAAAAATACTATAATATTAAAAAGTTATTATATTTGAAAATAAAGCCTAATACATTTTAAATTGAAATAAATTTCTGCTTAAATAAGTTGACCTAGAATTAAATGATCATATATAGACAAGGGGTCACATTCCTAGAAAAGAAATAGCAATGAAGCCCCTTTAACAACCATGCTTTTCTCCTCACTTCAGACACCGCCCAGAAGAGATGGCAGAAGGGAACCATTCCTCAGTCACTGAATTCATCCTGACTGGACTCTCAGAACAGCCAGAGCTCCAGCTGCCCCTCTTCCTCCTCTTCCTAGGAATCTATGTGGTCACAGTGGTGGGGAACCTGGGCATGATCAATCTGATTGGGCTCAGTTCTCACCTTCACACCCCCATGTACTATTTCCTCAGCAGTCTGTCCTTCATTGATCTCTGTCATTCCACTGTCATTACCCCCAAAATGCTGGTGAACTTTGTGACAGAGAAGAACATCATCTCCTTCCCTGAATGTATGACTCAGCTGTATTTCTTCCTTGTTTTTGCTATTGCAGAGTGTCACATGTTGGCTGCAATGGCTTATGACCGTTACGTTGCCATCTGTAGCCCCTTGCTTTACAATGTCATCATGTCCTATCAGGCCTGCTTCTCCTTGATTTTAGGGGTGTATATTATAGGCTTGGTTTGTGCATCAGCTCATACAGGTTGCATGTTTATGGTTCAATTCTGCAAATTCGATGTGATCAACCATTATTTCTGTGATCTTATTTCTATTTTAAAGCTCTCCTGTTCTAGCACATATGTCAATGAGTTACTAATTCTGATCTTCAGTGGAATTAATATCCTTATCCCAAGTCTCACTATCCTTAGCTCTTAATTCTTCATCATGACCAGCATCTTCCGCATTCGTTCCCCTGAGGGCAGGTCCAAAGCCTTCAGTACTTGTAGTTCCCACATCTCAGCTGTTGCTGTCTTTTTTGGATCTGCAGCATTTATGTACCTGCAGCCATCCTCTGTCAGCTCCATGGACCAAGGGAAAGTGTCTTCTGTGTTTTACACTATTATTGTGCCCATGCTGAACCCCCTGATCTACAGCCTTAGGAACAAGGATGTCCATGTAGCCCTGAAGAAAATGCTAGAGAGAAGAACATTTTTGTGAATAGAAGTAATGTGAAGATTTTATTAGATCTAAGTCTTTACATTGTATGAATTGTTGTATTTCATTGTTGTTCATATGTCAATATTTTTTCTCATTTGTTAGGATTCTAATCACATTATTTCTTATTCTCATGGCCTCTTTAATGTTATTTTCCTCTTTTGCTCTCATAAATATCACTGAGACACAGATTAGGAAAAATACTAAGGTTGACATAGATACATGAACCCACTAATGTCAATCCCATGACCTTCTCTTTTGCTTCCATACAATTGATAAAAACATAGTCCTCAATATAATAAAATATCATCTTCTGCCAGTAATGTGGCAGAGAGGGGTTAGAAACGGCTAAAATTATTCCTTTTTAAAAATCAACCTGCAGTAGCTGGGCTCAGTGGCTCAGCCTGTAATCCCACGCCTTTGGGAGGCTGAGGTGAGTGGATTGCCTGAGCCCGCGAGCTCGAGACCCGCCTGGGCAGGGAGACCTCATCTCTACAATAAATCAAAAAATCAGCTGGGCATGGTAGCGTATGCCTTAATTCCGGCTACTTGGAAGGCTGAGGCGGAAGGATCGCCGGAGCCCAGCAGGTCGAGGCTGCGGTGGCCGGAAGCGGCCACTGCACTCCAGTCTGGGCGACCGAGTGAGACTCCAATGCAAAAAAAAAAAAAAAAATCAACCTGCAAGCTCCAAACCTGCTAGACATGGGATGTGAGAAAACCAAATAGCCACAAGGCGCTTTCCTGAAAGTGCAAGATAGTAATGGATTAACAATCTTACCTGCCCCCCTTCCTCTCTTTGTGAAGATATCAGTTTACAACCCCTAGTTGCCATGTATATCCTGTAAACAATTTGTTCTTTGAAAATCTGGGTTTGCCAAATACAACTTTGCAAATTCCAAAGAAAAATGTTTAGCCATACAACCCGAACCCCTCCCTTACCTAAACTAACATATAAATCCCCTCTCCTCTTTCTCTGGGTTGCTCAACCATCGAGCATAGTACACTGAGTTGCGCCAGTGCTAATAAAACACTATTTCCTAAGATCACTAATAAAACGCTACTTCCAAAGATAGCCTTGGTGTCACAGTCTCTGTTTTTCCTGCAACAGTAATTAGCAACCTCTTTCATCTACCTACTCAATAAATAACATAAATTATAGCAATATATACCTGTATTCTTTAGTTTTTGCACATATCTAGCCTGAAAAAATCTATTTCTCACCATATTCCACTTAATATCTTCTCCAAGTCGATTTCTTCTATCTCTTACTTTGAAAATAACTTAATAAGAACTTTAAAACCTCATATACGTTTTGTGATTGTGCCCAATTCAATTTAGCCCTGCTTTGCCATTTATTGTTCTAGTTCTTAATTGCCTACATATTTTTAAATTCTGCACTGAACTGTAACCTCCCTGAAGGCATTCCCTGGACAGATGGTTCATCACCACACCATTAATGCCTAGTTCAGTGCCTGCTACCTATTAGGCTCTTGATAATGTATTTTTATATTTATTTTCTTCCTATAAAATATTTACATAGAAACCAGTATATATATCCAACACAATTGTCTCATATTAATCCTTTTAAGTGCTACAAGCAGCTTTTTTGTTTGCTTTTAGTTAACAATTTTGTTTAACAATTTTGTTTAACTTTGGAGAATTTATTAAAAATCTGTAAGACAACAGGTAACATTCTTAGCTGCTTGTTTAAGGATTTAGGAATATTAGCCTTGAGTTTATTCTGTGGTAAATTCCACACAGGAGTGCTAACCTGTGTATACCTGATTTCTTGAACAATTAAATACTATAGGCAACCAGGAAGTCTCTGAAGTAAGTCTACTTCATTCTTGAACTCAAGTATGCAGCATAAGAGATTAAAAAATGTTTGAATAATTTTGAAAACTAAACAGTCAACCTGACAAATTGTGCGGTAGAGTGATGTCTGGGTCCCAAACAACACAGTCTAGATCACTACTCTTAAGCAGAAAATAACTTCACCCAAGCTAGCATACAGAAAATTGCTTTGCAGTTTAGATTTAAGAAGAGAGAACACTGAATATTTAAAAATAAAAGCCTTGGTTACTGCTTCCAATGGATGCATTTTATTCATCCTTTGTTTTTTATTTTTACTTTTTCCTTCTTTTGAAGGAAGTTAAATTTCTCAGCTTGACTTTTAGTTTATGCAGCCTGCTTTATCTATGTGACTATTTACAGTCCTCTGCTTATCCAGTTTACAATTCCCTTAAGCCTTTAGCAGGAAGGAAGAAAAGAGAATGAACCCCAGCTTTAAAGAAATGTTTCCTGAGAAATCTAAAAAATGTTTTACATATTCCCCAAATGGTATAAGGTAGAGCTGGTCAGATTCACCATCGGCCATTGGCCGTATTGTTTTGAGCCAACAAAACTCCTAATATGAATACATTTTTTTTCCACTTCAAGTTGATTTCCTTAAATTAAACCTGCTAGCTTATCTGGTAATAGTTATGTTCTACAGGATAGCCAACATAACATATGCCAGGATTTGACCTACAGAAATATACTTTTCAAGGCTATATAAACTTAAATGTCATTTTCTCAAAGAACTCATTGTTGAAACTCTGACTAAATTACTTCATACACCATCCCGCTCTTCTTGCTCCTGGATACTGGCTCCTTTTCTGTAAGGGACTGTCAGGACATAGACTCTTTTCCTCCTATACCTGGCTTCTTTCTGTCCCCTTTTATAGGGACTGTCCTCTGGCCAAGGCTGGTCTCTGAAGGATATGCATATTTTCAGTAATGAGTTATGGGATGCAGGTGATCAAGCTAAAGGATAGGCATATTCCCAATAATAAGTCATGGGGTGCAGGTTGTTGAAAGCAATGTAGACATCACTCTTAATCAATGTAATTGTAAACACCATATAGCAATTTGAATCATTAAGTTGCTTGATTATAATGCTGTTTGCTGTATTGTCCCAAGGTGCAGATTTTTCACCCACCAGTCACTGTTGGTACCTCCCATCAATTCTAATAAACCAATATCTTTCCCTGCTAGACCTACAGGTGACTTCTTTGGAATGGGTAAACATTACATGCAAGCCCTCTTAAATTTGGGATTTCTATATTACATTGTCTTAGTACTTATAGCTTCTGTTAATTATATGACACTTAAATGTTTATTCTCTGCATCTTCCTTTGTTGAAATGACTTGAGCTTTAATAAAACATAGAGTAGCCAGGCATCATGGCTCACGCCTACAATCCTAGCACTTTGGGAAGCAGAGGCGAGAGGATGGCCCAAGCTCAGGGGTTTGTGACCAGCCTGAGCAACAGGGTTAGACCTCATCTCTACAATAAATCAAAAAATCAGCCAGGTGTGGTGGCACATGCCTATGGTTCCAGCTACTTGGAAGGCTGAGGTGGAAGGTTCGCCTGAGCCCAGCAGATCAAGGCTGCGGTGGCTGTGAGCATGCCACTGCACTCCAGCCTGGGTGATAGTGAGACTTCAATTAAAAAAAAAACAACCAAAAAAACATAAAGTAGACACTCAAATAATATTGACTTACAATTGTACCTCTCATTTCAGTCTTATATATTTATCAGTTCTGTGCAATCTCAAACTCAGCTTGTATTGAAAATATTCCACTTTAATTTTGCACCATGATTTTTTTTCATGTTTTTAAATTAATAACATTTTTAGGACAGTTTTAAATGCATAAAAAAATTGATGGTAGTCCAAAGTTCTCATTTCACTATACCCAGTCTCCTCTATTAGTATAATAACATCATATATGAGTATACTACTTTAGCTAAAATTAATGAACCATTACTGAAGTACATTAATTGAGATCCACATTTATTACTTTTTTGTTTACTTATTTAATTGAAAAATAAAAATTGTATATATTTATGGTATATAACATTAATACTTGTATATTTTAATAAATATATACACACATTGTGGAAAGGTTAAATCAAGCTAATTAACATATCTATTGCCTCACAAACTTATTTTTTGTGGTGAGAATATTCAAAATCTATTCTCTTAGCAATTTTCAAGTGTACAAAACATTGTCATCAGTTATAATCACCTTTTTGTACAGTAGGTCTCCTAAATTTATTTTCCCTGTCTAACTAAGATTTGGTATGTTTTGACTAACATCTTCCTACCGTTACAGCAATTGCAGCAACTTACCAGGAACAGGAATGAACATCCTTAGAACAGTCACCAGAGATTGAGAGGAGAATCGAAGGTGTTTATTTCAGAAGTCTCAGGCAGAGTAGCCTCCCAAAACCTGAGCCCTGACTCTCAGTTTCAAGCTGCTTTTATAGAGCTTTTTGTGGTTACAACATACATGGGATTGCCATCGGTGGGTTTACAATTTTAAATTTAGGACCAGGAACAGTTACTTCCACAACAAGCACTGAAGCAGATCTTTATGGACATTTCCATATGAGGTGCAGTAAAGCTTGTTTACAGAAACAGGTGCAGTTAAGGGAAATGGCATGTAGCTGCTTACTTAATATAAGAGCCTTGAGGTCAGCTTTCCTGCTTAATTCCTGTTTTCCTATCTCACTATAATTATTTATAAATTGCTACTTGAAAGGGATTAAAATTAAACAATAATTGTAAATGACAAAAGTTTTTTTTAATTGGAGTCTCACTCTGTCGCCTAGACTGGAGTGCAGTGGCCACTCCCGGCCACCGCAGCCTCGCCTGCTGGGCTCCAGCGATCCTTCCGCCTCAGCCTTCCAAGTAGCCGGAATTACAGGCATGCGCTACCATGCCCGGCTGATTTTTTGATTTATTGTAGAGATGAAGTCTCGCTGCCCAGGCGGGTCATGAACCCGCGGACTCAGGCAATCCACTCACCTCAGCCTCCCAAAGGCGCGGGATTACAGGCTGAGCCACTGAGCCCGGCTATGACAAAAGTTTTAAGACAGCCATTGTCAAAGACCCAATTGACAAGAAAATTTGACTAATTGTGAAATATAACATAATTATTATTACTGTTGATAATAT